GATAAGTAGGCAGCATGGTGTGCATGAAGTGGAACATTAGTTTTACAAAGCCTGAAACAGGGGGGTTAATTAGACGTTACCATGTGACTGTAGGAAAGATGCTTAGTCTCGCTGTCTTTATAAGATGAATAGAAGAAAATCACCAACTGGAATCTGAACATTTCTGATCTCTGACTGGTGCATCTGTCATGATTAGACTTTTTTTTATTATTTCAAAGCCAGCCTAAACTTAAATAAAATAAATAAATACATGTACCATAGTTTGAGAGCTACTGCTACTTTAGTTGAATGGGCCACATATTTTTCTGTTTGTGTTAACTGCTGCCTCAGTTACTGACTTTGTCTTTGAGGTACATAATTCCATCTATTTTTATTAATACAAAAAAAAAAAACCCCAGAAGGTAACATCAACATGTTTCCTAAAACGGTTTAACTCCATTGTCTCCCTTTGAGTCTCCTCCTCCTCCTGTGAATGTTCAGACCCAAATCTCACACTGATTGTTCCTGTTTCTGCAGAGCACCTGGTGGTAGCGGTGCCTGTCGCCGTCGTTGCAGCCGTCGGGGGCTTTTTAGTCGGCCATTATCTGACTGGACGCAGCTGTAAGAAAGGCCAGGTGAACACATGCGTCAGTAAAGACAGTCCCAAGGTGGTCCACAGCTTTGACATGGAGGACATCGGCACCAAGGCTGTGTACTGTCGCTGCTGGAAGTCAAAGAAGGTCAGGCACTGGTCGCTTGTTTAGGGAATAAAAAAGGCAACAGTTGGCTTTAAGAACATTCGATTTTAGCCCCCCTCATACAGTTATGTGACAATATCTTAGATAAGACACAGCTAAAAGGTTAGCCAAAAAGGCTAAAGTCATGGTTATAATAGTTAACCCAAAGGATGGCTAACAAAAACAAATATTAACCCAAGGAACAGTTAGATAGAAAAAATAAACTAAAAAGAAAACTAAAAATATAGCTCAACTAGCTAATAGCTAACTAAAATGGCATGAAAATAACAACACTCTAGAACACGATAAGATGCCGTCGTTGTACCATGAAGTCGGTGTTTAACTGAACAATCTGTGTCTTTCAGTTCCCCTACTGTGACGGAGCCCACACTAAACACAACGAGGAGACCGGTGACAACGTCGGACCCCTCATCATCAAGAAGAAAGATGCTTAATCCGACCAACGACAGACGTACTCCAGTTCTCATCTGCTGTCTCTCTGTGTGTCCAGTTTGTCGATCTCACCTCTGACAGTGTGCTACAGATTGACTGATTGTCAGCTGCTATACTCCCTAAGTACAGATTAAATATTTATAATACTCTAAATTTACATCGCTGCTTTGTTTCTGCACTGGACGACATGGTATTAAGACTTGGAGGTCATTTAAGGAACGACCTGCAGGGGGCTCACACTATCAACGCGGTCTGACAGCCTGTGTATTGTGATTATTGTGATTAAATTAATGTATTCCTTTTTTTTTTTTTGGTCAAAACAGCGACCACATCTGACCTGTCTGTTTTCTTCTTCCATCGAGTGGACATCATGTCCTCATGTCTGGTGTCACCTGTGTCCAAGTCTGTCTCTGCTCCTCCAGGTCTGGAGCAGGTGGTTGAGTCATAATGTCCTGGCAGCTCTTGGCCTCAATCAGCGCAGTGTTTCATTAAAATTCAGCAGAAGCTTTATATATTTAAACGTGCAGCCCAAAGTCTGAACGCACACACACACAGACACACACGCCTGAATGTGAATGTTAACGTGTGGTCATTTTTCTGCTCACGTTGGAGGAAGCCTGTTAGTTTCCTGTGCACTAGTGAACAGTAGCAGCAGTGTTGGAGTTTAATAATCGCTTATGACTGTTGTGAAGAATCTGTGCTATTTAATCATCATGTTTGGAGGGATGTATTTTTCCATGTGCATCATATTAATTTTCTATTGGTTGTGGGTCTGACTTGATGGTATTCTGTAAAATGTAATTAAAAGTTGTCCAGCGCACTGATCTTTTTCTCTTTTTTTTTTCCTTTTTAACTATATTATAAACTTCGGCCACTCCTGTCAAGGAACTGGATTTAAGACCAGACAAAGAAGCAGGTTTTGACCTGAAGTCAAAATCTTAGAAAGAAATTCTCTGATCAAAACACCACTGAAGATGTGTTGTATATTTGAATAGATGATATGTAAACCAATAGTTTTATTTTGTATCTTAAACTTTTTTGACTTAGCCTTACATAAAAGCCAAATTATTTTAGATAATTATAATAGTTCCAGACACCCTCATCTGGTTTAAAGTCTGGTATTAATTAGATAAAAATATTGAATTTTCTGATATATTTTTATCCAATTTTGAAAATATATTATATTAAATATTATATTTATATTATATCTTATATATAAAACGTTCGTTTGAAACGACCTGTCTGTAAAACGTGAACCTGTGCATGTCTGTTGTCGTCGAGGGCTCGTGTCAGTTTCAACTAGCACAGTGGCCATTTTAAGCTGCGGCTGTAATTTGAATTGACCACTAGAAGTCGCTGTGCAAACAGGAATAGTCCGGCACAGGCAGTGTGGGTCCCTGCTCCCCTTGTGACACGCGCACGTCTTTACACGCACACAACACACGCAGCAACACGCACGAAGTATCTGGCTACGTTCCAGATGCAACGCAGGACTCTCACAAGAGGTGGAGTGGACTCTGTCCCTGAGTGAGGAGTCACCGTCTACAGCGGGAGTCCAGGCTGCCGTAAACTGACCCTGTTTACGACAGGTACGTGTGCGGTCGGTCTGCTAACTGACTGTGTTTGAAACGCCGAGTAAAAAAATACAGAAACAACATAAACAGTAGCAGCACTTTAAAATATCAACCATAGTTTACATAAACAAACGATATAAATGTTTTTTTTTTTAAAAAATCAACGAAACAAAGACCGAATGAAACTATCAGGTAAGAAAGTGATACCGTTTTTAAAAAGTGCTTCAACACAATCACTGAACGTTGAAAAACAACAACAGCAACAATTGAGTAGTCAGACTGGTTTGGTTGTCACATAAAAGTGGGTTTCAAGACCGGTTTTCAACCATGGGTTCCATTTGCCTCAGAATAAGGCAGGTGGTCAGAGAGGACAAACCGACATAAACGTCTGTCTTTATTGACACAGTGTGGTGTGTTTTAGTGAACACAACAGAATTGGAAACTTGTAAATCAATATGTGGAGCAGATTTTTTTTTCTACAAAACAATTATAGTCTTTACCAATGACTGTAGTTTGTTACAACTAATTATATTATATATATTTATATTAATTCTATTTGAGGGAAAACAACCAATAAGATGCATGGACTGCACAGCGTTATCTCTCAGTTGTTTTTTAAAAATACTGTTTTAAACTCTTGAACTGCCGTTCATTTGAGTTTATTTAATTTACTACTTGATACCAAATTTGGTTGCAGCTGAAAAACAAAACCACTAAAGCAGAGACGGGTGGGGTTTTTTTTTAATGTAAAAATAAATATCCAACAGACCTTGACCGTTAACCAGCCCCTCACCAGCTACATCTAAACTACTAGTCATTTAAAATAACTACTTACTTCCTCAACTGTTGTTGTTTTTTAACGTTGCTGTTCAGGGAAAACATACACTGGTAATACCAACATTTGTATTATTTTGTATTGTGTATTGGTATAGTTGTAATATTTGTGTGTGTGTGTATCACTGTTTTGAAATTTTACGTTTGTGACAAAATCCATGATTTTTAAAAAAAAGATAAAGATGATGGTGATGAGACTAAATCAGTTTAATCAGGAATATATTTATAATTATTGTTATTATTATTATTGTTACAATATTTAAACCCATTTCAATGCTTCAACATTAGCCTCAGACTGAACCGTAAACAGGAAGTAGCTCCACAGAACAACTTAGATCCAGTATAAAGTACTGACCAATACTACATAAATACTACAAAGTGAGTGTCTATCCCACCAGGGGAGTAGTGTTTGTGTATTATTTATTCAGATTAATAAAAAATAACACGAGAATATATGTGACAAATATAAAAATTAAAAAATGAAAATAAATGTAAATATAATAATATTTTTATATACATATGCACGCACCCGTGTACGCGCTCCCGTATTTAAGAACCATTGTTGTGACAAATTGACTTCTTTGGTGTGTTTCACCACATCACTCTGAGCAGTTTTACCTTATTATCTGTAGTAAATGGCCTCTTTATTTCACTTGTGCCAATATATGAATGCGCCCCCCTCCCACCCCATAATAATAATAAAGTACAATCATCGCTGGTGTACAGTGTACAGTGTGGTCACGCCGCGCGGGGCTGACGGGTGTTTAATGTTGTGTGTAATCGCCTCTCCTTCACTTCCACACGGACTGCTGATCTCTCCCTGACTCGGCTGCTTATTATTATGGGATATCGTGGGGTCGCTCTGACCACGGTTTCGGCCGCAGAGTCCACTTCGCATTTTGAGCGACGCCCCCAAATTCCGTGCAGAGTGTTTGCAGACCCTCCGGGACGGAGAGGTGGAGGAGGAATCGGCAGCTCCGCCGTCCACACACACACCGTGATCGCCACGCCATTAGCTCATGACTTGATCGGATCTTTGACAGGGGGAGTCCGGACCATTCTGAGAAGGTAAGACAACAATGTTTTTTTTTGAGCTG